TTCGGAAAATTCCATTTTTCCCAAAACTCTTTCGATATTTCTACCATGTCATTTTTGGTTGGTGGTGGTAATAATATGGGTGTCAATCGATTGCTCAAACTTTTCAATACTAGTCTCACAATACGTGTAATATAACTTTGGGAGATGCGAAAAGCAAAAGCTAGGGACCGAAAAGATTCTCCAGTCGCCATAAACCTGTTAAAAAAAAAATTAAATTATAAAAATACTTGAATTTGTCCACAGCAATAAATCTATTATATAAAAATAAGTCCGGTTTTCCTCCCTGACGCTATAACTCGAGAACGCACGAACCGATTTCCACGGTTTTGCATTCGTTGGAAAGGTCTTGGGCTCCGTGAGGTTTATAGCAAAGAAAATTCTGGAAAATTCAGGAAAAATTCAACAGAAAAGTGGGAAAATCGTTTTTCACATACGGCGCCATCTATTATACATAGCATGTACTTCAAACCAATAGCAACGGTGCGTGATAAAGTGTTTGACGGATAGTTGTTTATTATATAGTTGACGGATAGTTGTTTACATTATTCTCTGCTCAGTTAATTTCAATTAAGCTAAAATGAATTATGTAAATTATGTGGATCGTGCATTTGAAGTTAAATTCAACACTCTGTCCATAGTCCAAAATGCCTAGAGAACGACGTGCGAACATCGGCCGCCGCACAAGACATGCAAGCCAGCAACAAGTATATTCAAGGAACTTAAGAGAAGAAAGACAAAATATAATAAGAGAAAATGACCGATTGAGACATCGCGTGAGCACACGAAGATCATTGGCATCATACAATCGCTTGGCATTCCAATATGATCCCACTGCGAACTACAGTGATGATGAAAATTTTGATATTGGACGAATGACGACTATATGCCGATATTGCAATGCGTTAAAGTTCAAAAGAGAAACGGTTGGATTGTGCTGCGCAAGTGGAAAAGTCAAACTGGATCCATTACTTACACCACCACATCCACTGAAAACATTGTTTGATGGAAGTGATCCCGATTCCAGCCATTTTCTTCAACACATCCTTGAATACAATAACTGCTTTCGCATGACTTCCTTTGGAGCTAATATCATTCGAGAAGGCGGCTTCATGCCGACTTGCAAGGTAAAAGATACAACACACATAACCAACACATAATTGCAACACATAACAACTTCATATACACCACACACTACACAATCAAACGATTTAAAAGGTATTCATGAACAAATTTTAATGATTATTTGCAATTACAGATACAAGGTCAAATATATCATTTGCATGGTTCAATGGTGCCAAAACAATGATTTTCCAAATTTATCCCGCAAACACTAAGCGATTGGCCTTGCGACTTATTAATTGTCATTGCGAACGCAAGGCGAACTGGGAATTGCAATCGTTTGAAGTCAAACGGAAGATCAGTCGGAATCATTGGTATTCGAGGAATACATACATTTTCACCTGCGTACTTTCCGTTAATAATGGTTGCCTCAATTAAATTCGGCATAAGTCTCTTTACCGAAAGTCGAGTACCGTTGCAAAGTCCCGGTGGATTCAAATTACGCAGTATCAAAATAACTGTACCAACTTTCAGTTGCAAGTTATGTGGTGGAAATCCTGGTATCTCCAGAGAGTTCAAAAACTCCGTTGGATAATTTACTACATCATCGGGATTTGTTATTGAATCAACGGATTTGTATGTCACCAAATCGCCAGCAATTTTTGATTGAATGATGAAATTCAGTGCGTGGACATCATTATTCTTTGCTGCAAGAATTGCTCGTTGACTTAACCAAGCATAATTCTTATAATTCTCACTAATGTTTGGGAAAACATTTTCAATAAGAACTAATTGAACTCTCTGGAGATACCAGGATTTCCACCACATAACTTGCAACTGAAAGTTGGTACAGTTATTTTGATACTGCGTAATTTGAATCCACCGCGACTTTGCAACGGTACTCGACTTTCGGTAAAGAGACTTATGCCGAATTTAATTGAGGCAACCATTATTAACGGAAAGTACGCAGGTGAAAATGTATGTATTCCTCGAATACCAATGATTCCGACTGATCTTCCGTTTGACTTCAAACGATTGCAATTCCCAGTTCGCCTTGCGTTCGCAATGACAATTAATAAGTCGCAAGGCCAATCGCTTAGTGTTTGCGGGATAAATTTGGAAAATCATTGTTTTTCACATGGACAGTTATACGTTGCGTGTTCACGAGTTGGGAAACCATCCGCTTTGTTTGTGTTAACAAACGAAAAAAAACATAAAACGAATCTGGTGGCGAAACGGAGTTCGCCGGGTCTGCTAGTATATAATATAAAAAGTACCTATATATAGGCTATTAGTTATTACAAATTTGGTATTATTTGTAATATGAAAAATATATAAATTATTATAAATAATTAATGTTTATTAATATTAATTATATTTATATCATTACAAGACTTCTTGAATAAAAAATATAATATGTAATGTCAATAAATAAATACAGTCAACTCGCGATATAACGAATTTCAAGGGACCGAGAAAAAAATTCATTATATCGAAAGTTCGTTACATCGAAATTATATTATACCGCGATATTTTCAAGGGACCTGTAGTTTTATTCGTTATATCGCGAGTTGACTGTATAATATACATATAGTATGTAAATTAATTGAAAGTCAGTAGCTTTAATTCGAAATATAATGGAGATAGTAGTTAAAAAAATGTATAATGAATAGTCCAGTGGTGTGGTGAACAATTTTAATTGAAGAAGCCAAATATATTTATTCCATCCACCCACCCACCCACTTAACAAAACAGGTTGTATACCAAAATTATTATATTCGCTCCCCCATAGATTGTCCCTTTATTAATACAGCCCGGAAGATAGGGTACGAGATACTACACAATTGTTAAAGGGCAAATAACAAAAAGATGCGGGTAAACGGATGTCGCTCTGCTGTACAGTAGGTTACAAGTGGGTCACTGTAATGGATGGCGTAAACTGTTAAATTTGAATTCAAGGATATAATATCAATGTATATAAGAAAAACGATTCTGAGCGAAAACGGTCAGTCAGCCTATGATATTACCAAGTATATTTGATGATATTATTGTGAATAAAGTAATTTATATATAATCTATTTACGTGGAACCTTGTTTTACATTTTCAATCCTTAGCTATAAAAGTTGAACATTTTATAAATTTTTAACTACAAAATAATAATTACAATGTAAATTTGATAAATTTTATCAAAATTTGAACTTTAAATCCTTATAAAAAAAAATTGTGCCCATGTATTTTTAATATTTTTCAACTCCTATTGTAACAATATATCAGGAGTCTTGTATTAAATTTTCACGCATTTTTACCCAACAAATAAAATTTAATTGATATTTATAGAAAAAAAAAACTAAAAAATTGAAAACTGGCATGTCCGTAAACAGTTCAAAAATAGTCAAATTATTTTCAAAATTTTATCGTGTATAGAAAATGCTAATATAAACATTGAGTGAAATTTTCAAGTATCTAAAGTCATTCGTATTTTAATTACAATAAAATAAGAAAACCGTTACGTAAGATATCGAGTGAATATCAAATGTTGTAAAAATATGAACTTCAAACGCTCATAAAAATTTAGTTTGACTTTCTTGTAGAAATTTTTTTTTTTTATAAAGGTAGACAAACTTATGAAGAATCTTGTATTACATTTTCAAATCTTCGATTTAAAAAGAAATTTTTTTATCAATTTTTAACTCAAAATAATTTGCAAATTTTAGTAGTTTTTACGTATTTTGTCAATATTTGAACTTAAAATACTTATAAAAATACTGGGTTTTTAATATTTCTCATGTCTTTGAAACAATATAGTAAATTTGGAGCCTTCTATTAAATTGTCAAGCTTTTGTATCCAACAAATGTAAAAATTGTATTGATATTTATAGAATAAAAAACTAAAAAAATTGGACTGAAAATGTCCCTAAACAGCTCAAAATAAGTCAAAATATTTTAATAAAAAGCATGGTATATAGAAAATGCTAATATAAATATTCAATAAAAATGTCATGTATCTGCGGTCATTTGTTTTAGAGTTACACCAAAAACCAAAATCGATTAAGCAAAAAATCAACAATACATACTTTCAATCAAAATTGTACAATATTATAGATTACTAATAATCGTAAGTTGGTAACGATCTGCTGTTCATTAGGTGTCAAGTCTTTAAATATATAATAAATAATATTAGGCAAACATATTTTAGGTCCGCACCTGGGCACCACCACCACCCCCAAAAATCAACGGGCCGCGGCTCAAAAAAATTAGCCTCGCCACGCCTCTATTGAATACTGACAAACAATTTATTTAATAATAAATGATTTTTTTTATGAATTTTAATTTTGAGCTGTAATCAAAATACAATATTTTTTCAACGAGTTTAGCTACTGTATATCAAATGTTACAATTTGATTTTATTTATATCATTACATTTTAATAAGTATTACTTAATTATATTGATGCAGTTGACGATTGTAAAAAGCGCTGGAAAAACATTAAGGACACATACAATAAAAAAAGGAGAGGTAGAAAGTTGGGTACTGGGTCTGCTACGAAAGAAAAACCATCAAAATGGATTCTTGAGGATGCTTTATCTTTTATAGATACAGCAATATATGAGAGACAGTAATAATATATGATACATTTTTATTTTTTGATGTATATAAAATGTAATATAAATACTAATAATGTTATCATTATGATACTGAATAGGAGCGTAACAAATGTGTCCCACGAAGGAGATGAAATTGAGGAATATCACATAAGTTCAAATGATAATAGTGTTATCACACAAATGGAGCCTGAAATTGAAAATGTATCATCAGTTTTAACTTTTGAGCCAATAGCGGTAGCAGAGAAGTCGGAGAAAGAATCAACTAGTCAAAAACGATAAAAAAAAACGGAACTAGTCGACATTTTAAATAAAAGAAGCGAAGAAAGAATCCGTTTAATGCAAGAGCTTACAAAAACAGAAGAAGCAGAGGACTCCATCGATGTTTTTTTCAAAAGTATGGCGCTTACAGTCAAACAGTTTTCGCCAGAACTCAAAATAAAAGCAAAAATGGATGTACTCAAAGTAATAAACGAATTGGAACTTAAGAATCTAAAATCTTTGGATCAAACTGGCAGTACTTCCAATTATGTGATTCCAGAAAATCAAACTTTTAGTCCTCAAGCATTTGTTCCAATAAATTATACATCCTATTCAACACACTCCTCTGAACTTGATGGAAGTTCTTCAGAATCTAGATGGACAGAACATTTTCATAATAATTAATCATTATAATCAATGGAGCCATATTATCATAGTTTTTATGTTTATGTTTCAACAGAAGTGTTTTTTATTTATTTATAAATTTGTTTTGTTTATTTTAAAAATGCTATAGGTACTCGCTAAATGACAGTAATGTTATTATTTTTATTTTCATTGAGACAATGTTTTGTTATTTTTATTAGTTATTTTCCTCAACTAAGTTATTTATACCTCAACTACTTAATTTATAGTTAACCTTGGTTTAAAATTTGAAACTATTTTTAATTATGTTTCTTGTTTATTCTTGTTACAGAGTATCATTACCTAGTCATAAGTATTTAGAATCAATCGATGGTTATATTTTATAATAGTGATTAGCGAGAGTGCGAGACTGTTATTCATAAACTCTCTTTTTTTAGAACATATATTATATTTCAATACATTTAAAACTAATATTATAGCACTTGAAGTTATAGAATTTGCTGATTTCGTTATTTTATATGAATAATTAAAACATTTACGTAAAAACGTATTAAAGTTATGTGTTAATCATGCGGCTGTTTCATATTTGAACAAAAAAAGCTTACCTTAAAGTTACAGCTAATTTCTCCGCCGGTGAAATAGGCTCTCTCACTCTGTTGGTGCGATTTGATTTTATGTCGTCTTCAATTAAATTAAGAACATAGTTAAATTGTTCCCAGCTTAATCTAAAAAATTCTCTGAATTTTTTTTCATCGCTAAACAAATGTTTTTCAATTAAGATACTAAAATAACCTTCTTTTTTTCTGGATTGAAACATATCATGAACTTCTTTCGTCATGACTTGATCAATAATAATTTCTTCGTCTTCTATTTCTTCTAATAGAAGATTAATCAAAACTTTGTTACGCAACATGGTTCACAATTAAATTATTAACAAATGATCGGAAATAATCAAGACACTAGTGATCAATGCAACGTGCAAGGTTGTAATGATCGAATTAAATATGAATATAATCTAAATTCAAAATACGTGCCGCGCGTCTGTTGCGGCGCGTTTCGCAGTTAAAGGATTCCGCAGTCAGCCGCGCGGTTAAAATTTGAGCCGCGCCGCGTCAGCCGCACCGGTCGCGCGTCACTAGACGCGTTCTAAGGAATCACACCTTAAGGAGCGACGTAAGCCGATATATTCGATGTTCATCGATGTAATCGCATATAATTCGCTTGTAATACGCGCATCTCCCATATATATATTTAACGGAGCTCGTGAAAAGCGTTTTCCGTTAATAATTATTAAATCAATAGGCAAAAATTAATTTATACACGTATATACATGTATTATACGCGTACGGTCGGTCGTAATTTCTAAACGCGATTGCGAAGCGAACCGACCGATTTCGTAAGAAAAGCGTATATATACGGCTTTAGAAAGACGTCAACTACACGCTTCGGGCACGAACGACGTGCGAAAAGACGAAACTGTCGGAGAAAACGAAAAAAATCGGCAAAAAAGTACGGCCGGGAGCGTATTTTGCGATCGACATTGCGACGGCTACGGACGGCGAACGGATATAAACCGCACACCGGCGGCTTCGAGAAATCGCGAGCTACGCGAATCAAATATAAATATGAGTGAAAAAGGCTAGAAAACGGTCGAAATCGTGTAAAAAGTGTAAATTTCGAAAATTTCAAAAATGATAAGAAAAGAAGTGATAACGCGGTTATTGCCCGCCGCAGAATCTGAACGTTGCGATTGGCCGGGCCGGAAAAACGACACGAAAGTCGTCTATCCCCATGGACAAAACTGGGGACTAACCTAGTTTTATAATATAAGAGACTAGCTCTCCGAGCGTCGCTGGAGGATACCCCCAGACCCCCAGGTGTCGGTCATGAGTGTTTTCTATTTCGGAAGCTGCAGTTGTCTGTTGGTCTGGTCGTCAGTCTCGAGCTGGTCGGTGTGTGATAAGGAACTCTGATAAGGTTAGGTCCACCGTGGTTCGACGTTTTAGCCCCCCGGTAAGCAACAACGTTCGACGACAACGTTCTTTACTGCCGCCGGAAATTCAAAATTCCGTAAAAAATTATAAATCGTCGTTGTATTTTTGTGGGTGTCTAGCAGGTGAGTCACCTCGAATGACGTTCGCCATAGTCAAGTTTTCGCGGGTCAATCACCTTCCTCGACTTTGGTCGTAGTCACCCTGGAAGGCAATCCGACAATACTCGACGGCTGGTCTAGATCATTACTGTTACCGAAAAAGCAAAAAAAGTAATAAATTACTTGAAATGTATTTAAAAAATTTCGGACGTCCATGCAAATCATATAGCCGCCGTATTTTTTAGGGTGTCTAGCAGGTCAGTCACCTCGAATAACATTCGCTATAATAATAGGAGTAGGCTATCCGACTTGGACGGATAGCGGAAAATGTGCGACGGCCGGGTGACGTCATCAGGTATGCAATTCGACTGCGTCTAATCGCGGACGACGTTCATTACTGTTACCGAAAACGCAAAATTAAAGGATAAATTACGTGAAGAAAATTCAAAATATTTCGCTTGTCCATTCAAATCATATAGCCACCGTCTGATTTTTTGGTGTCTAGCGGGTCAGTCATCAATGTTATCCGGGTAGGTAATGTGCGGCCGGGACAGCGTCCATTGCAGTCACCGACAACGCAAAATTACGTAATGAAATACGTGAAAACAAATTGAAAACATTTCGTAAGCAATCCGACTACCGAGTCACCTTCCTCGACGTAATTACGCGAAAATATGTTTTGGGGTCTAGCAGGATCTATGGTCTAGCGTCGGATAGCAGACAACGTGTGACTTCTGACGCAAAATTAAGTAATAGGTCACGTGCAAAAAAAATGGTATATGTTTTGGTGTCTAGCAGGTCAGTCACCTTCCTCGACGTTGGACGTAGCAACCCTGGTAGTCAATCTGACTTCGTCGGATAGTGCGACGTCCGGGTCAAGGCATGAAAACGCCAAATGACGTAAATCAAATGTATATAAATAATAACATTTCGGGCGCCCGTGCTAGTCCTAATATAGTCGCCATGATTTGTTGAGTGTCTAGCAAGTCGGGCGGCCACGTTTAATAGTTTTTGTCGTTTATAGTAGGTAGTAGAGCGATTTAGAAGCGAAACTCGGTTAGCTGATTGGGATTTCGTTTTCCAATGGTCCTCCGAAAAACACGGAAACGTTTCCGCACACCGACATGATGTCAGACCCAATATCTCTCGTATCACATAATAGGCGGGAAGTTATCCGCTGATACCGAGTGGATAGACGATAAACGGTCGGTGATAAGGCCTACTGCTTTGGCGGTATTCTGTCGAAGGCGGGAATGTTTGAAAACCATGTTTGCGTGTGTATCAATAAATTTGAGTGATGGTCCTAACTCCTAAGGCATTATTATGACCATATGAAAAAATTTTGCAAAAATGAAATAAGAACGATGGCCAAAAGTGTAAGGTTTAATGCCGTGTTCGAATGAATAATATAAAACTATAAAATATCGATTTAATAATTTGTCAATACAATAAATTTATTAATCGGCCGTGCGATATCGTTACCCGCATGGGTTACCTGCCTTGACTCTTGTTATTGTCGCCGTTCTAAGACAAAGGACTGCGCCGAGTGCCGCCGACGTCCGACTTTAAAATCATTTCATTCAAAGTACCCGGAAAGGAAACACGTGAGTATACAATGTAATATTACTGTTATAAATATTGTATTATTAATTTAATTGGTGGCTTTTTAAAACGTTTACACCGCAGATCGTAGGTAATTTATCAATTAATTTAATGTAACACATGCTTTCCGATTAACGAATTTAATATTTTATCCTAGTTAGAGCTAGTCAACATATAATATAATACCGACAGATCACTTATAGTTTCGTTTTACTATACACTTTCTTTATTGCTTTTTATTTGTCAACGTCAGAGTAACAACGTATAAAACATTAGCGGCAATTGCCAAGCGTAGGTACACGAGTACACGAGGGCCTTGTTTTTTTAACACGTTCAACGCGGATCGTATATATCAATTAATAAATTATTATAATAATATAAAAGTTTTAGTATACACTTTCTTTATTTCTTTAGAATGAGTATAATAAGATACACTGGATTGTTTTTTTAACACGTCCAACGCGGATCGTATTTATGAATTAGTAATATCTTATTATAATAATATATAAATTTGCGACGAAAATCGAGCCTTAGTTTTGTCTGCAACACATGGTTTCTGTGAAACAAATTAAATATTTTTTCTATTTTTTTTGTTTTTAACACGTTCACCTCCGATCGCATTAATCAAATGATATTTTTATACCATATACATTTGCGAAGAGAACCGTATCTTAGTTAAACGAATTTAATATTTTATAATATCACCAACCTAATAATGCAGATCAATTGTTTTTTTCAACATTCTTTATTTGTTTTTATTTATTAACTTTAGAATGAGTACTTTCAACTTAAGTGGAAACTATACGGTCCACATTAGCAAAGATGAAGACCGCGCCCGACCCCAACGTAAGCACACATTTGGTTAATAATTAAAATTAGAAACGATTAAAATTATATCTACCCGTTTCAGAATGTTACAACTGCGGTAAAGACAGCCACCTCTCCCGGGATTGCGGTGAGTGTTTCCTTTACATATTCCTTGATAATACAGTCTTAATATTATTTATTTATATTGTAGCCAGTGGACGTGTAGGTGGTGGTCGTAGTGGTGGCAGGCGGCGAGGAGGTGGTGTCGACGTCGTCAGTGGTCGTGATGGCGTAAGGCGTCGGGGAGGTGGCAGTGGTAGGGGAGGTGGCAGGGCTAGTCGTGCTAGGCCCCTCTCCAGATCCCGCTCCCCAACATCACGACCATCTTCAAACGTAAGGATATATATTTATATTTAAAAATAAATCTAATTACATTTCTTTATAAATCTAACTAAACGAATAATTTTCAGGTGGTCGGTGGGACTCAACGGTCGCGACGCCGAGTGGCCGCGGCTCCACAGTCCAGCGATGTAAGTTTAATATATTTTTATTTTTTTTTTTTATTAGTTATCCCGCGGCAACTTAGGCCATTGGGAGGGGGGTGGTACTGTAGGTTTAGAACGGTAGGTTGGTTACACGTGGCTGTGTTGGTGGCAGAATTTCTATTGGGGCACCCGTAGGTTTCTGCCATGCCCTCCGGACACCGTGACTTGCCCGGAGAAAAATACCGCCCAGTGGCCGAGAGGATCGAACTCGTGACCGGCATCACCGCAGCCGACGCGTTGACCACTCGGCCACCTCGTCCCCCGTATATAATATATTAGTATACTCTTTAAAGATATATTAGTAAAAAATTTAAAAAAATATTCAAGTTTTCGAAATTGATAAATCTAACTAAACGAATAATTTTCAGGAGGTCTGTCGGACTCGGTAACGGTCGGGAAGGCGAGAGGCCACGGCGCCACCGTCCAACGATGTAAGTATATATTAGTATAATCTTTAAAAATATATTAGTAAGAAATTAAAAAAAATAATCTAGTTTTCGAAATTGATAAATCTAATTAAACAAATAATTTTCAGGAGCAGCCGTACGTAACTGCTTGCGAGTCTCCACCGCCAAATGTCGTAAGGATATATTTATATAATATTTAAGTGTTTGATATAGATAATAAATTCTAATTGAACACATCATTTTCAGGAAATTAGTGATGCCTCATTCGCAGCCGGGGCAAGAAGATGTAAGGATATAATATAAATACTTTAGTTTTTGAAATTAATAATTCTAATCAAACATAATATTTTCAGGTACCGATAGCAGAATTGCAGAAATACAAAAGAAGTAAGTTTTTAACAGGAACATTTGTTCTCAACAAACAATTTTCTACGTTTATTCTTTATGTTTTTTTTTCAGATGATCAATAAATTAATGGCCTAAAAACATGACTATTTCATTTACAATTATATTTTCTTTTCCTTTCCAACTGTATATTTTTAAATTACTATGTGTGTACTGAGGGTACGGTATGAAAGATTTTTTAAATTTCTATAAGTTACCAATACATATTGTTCATACTATTTTAACACAATAAATTATATGTGTGGTGTGTGGATCAAATAAGATAATAGTTATAAGGGTTCTAAGGATGTCAGTGAAATGAATGACCTAGGTAGGTGTTGCATAGAATTATGTCTAAAGTATGCAACAAATAAATAAATACGACGTCATTAAAAGATTTTAGTATTAATAGTCTACAATGAGTAAAACAAATACAACATCAATTATTGTAAAAATATTGACTTCTAATATAAAATAAATTACACAACTTTACCATTAAATATTGTTTTAACTTTTTTACATAAGAATACCTATAATATTATAATAAGTTAGGTTAGTATGACTATATAAGCGACTGTAAAGATTTCAGTGATTCTATTAAAATTCTAGATGGTATTTATATAAAGCCTAAAAATGAAATATTTGCCAGACATCTATTAGCCACAAAGAAACAACTGACAAGTGAATCTATTGACCAATACTTGCAGTCTCTAAAGATTTTAGCTAAGGAATGTACATTTAAAGCCGTTAGTCCCTCACAGTATAAGGATGAGTACATAAGAGACGCATTCATTAATGGTATCATGTCTAATAGCATCCGTCAACGTCTGTTAGAAAACGACGAACTAAGTCTAGAACGAGCAGTGATGCAGTCACGAGCTCTAGAGATGGCACAAAAGCAGTCTGAAGCCTACTCTATGCCTGTAGAATCTATAAATCATGTAAATACCGAAGCAGAAGACGAACAATCTGAATCAATGATCGCAGCCATCCGACAAAAATGTTTTTTTTGCGGGTATGACCGGCATCCACGTAGCTCTTGTCCAGCTAGGGAAGCTGTGTGTAGGAATTGTGACAAAAAAGGTCATTTCTCCAAAGTTTGCAAATTAAAGAAAACTCAAAACTCAAATAAGTCTAATACAACTACTTCGGCTTTTATTGCAAATCTAGCCTGCATCTCTGCAAATTTACCGGGTGCTCTATCAAAAACAGTTATTAAAGTTAGAGTCAATAATATGGAAGCAAATGGTCTAGTGGATACTGGAGGTTCAAGTAGCTTCATAGATGATGAATTTGTCCAGCATCATAAAATAAAGGTATTTCCTAAGAAGGGACAGGTAGTTTTAGCATCTGCAGAGCATTCATCACACTTAAAAGGGTTTGTTTGCGTAGACTTATCATTGCAAGGGCACGTGTATAAAGATGTCAAATTATCAGTACTGTCAAAATTATGCACTGATGTTCTCATAGGTCATGATATATTACAGAAACACTCTAAAGTAGAAGTTACCTTTGGCGGGCCTAAATCCCCTTTATTAATCTGTAATATGTCTTCAACAGCAATAGAACCAAATGTAATAAAACCCATGCCCTCATTTGTAATAGAACCTCCGCGCCTTTTCAAGAACCTAGCTTCCAACTGCAAACCTATAGCTGTCAAATTACGCCAATATTCTGAGGAGGACTATACATTTATCAAGGATGAAATAATTAAATTATTGAATGAAAATGTTATTGAGGAGAGTATGTCGCCATGGCGAGCCCAGGTATTAGTTACAAAAACTGAAAACCATAAAAAACGCATGGTAATCGATTACTCTCAAACAATTAATAGGTTCACAATGTTAGATGCCTATCCTCTACCAAATATAAATGACCTAGTTTCCAAAGTAGCCCAATATAGTATATATAGTACTATAGATTTACATAATGCATACCATCAAATACCGATCCACGAGGAGGCGGCTGGTCGCCTTTATCATTTTCGGAAAATCCCTTTTGGCGTGACAAATGGAGTGGCCTGTTTCCAAAGAGTGATGGATAAAATAATATCAAATGAGAACCTAAATGGAGTATACGCTTATTTGGACGATATAACAATATGTGGAAAAAATCAGTCTGAGCATGACCTGAACCTGAATAAATTTCTCAATGCAATGAAAAATTATGGACTCATACTAAATGAAAATAAATGTCAGTATTCTATGCAAACAATTACACTTCTTGGACAACAGATCACGAATAAAAGTGTAAGTCCAGACCCAGATCGATTGAAGCCTCTTTTGAATCTACCTCCACCCAAGGACGCCAAATCATTAAAGAGGGTTTTAGGTATGTTTTCTCATTATTCAAAGTGGGTTAGAAAGTTCTCAGACAAAATCCATTATCTAATACTTTGTAAGTCATTCCCTATGTCATCATCTGCAATTGCTGATTTTGAAAGTATCAAGCTAGACATTGCCAATTCAGTAATAAGTTCTATCAGTGGTGATGAGCCCTTAGTAGTTGAGAGCGATGCCTCAAACCATGCGTTAGCAGCAACACTTAGTCAGAACGGGCGCCCTATATCATTTTTCTCAAGAAGTCTCTCGAATTGTGAAAAGAAACACCCATCTATAGAAAAAGAAGCTTATGCAATTGTAGAGGCATTAGGGAAATGGAGACATTTTTTAATAGGGAGGCAGTTCAAACTTATAACAGATCAAGAAGTCGTATCTTTTATGTTTAACTTGAAACATTCAAGTAAAATTAAAAATGATAAAATTATTAGATGGAGACTTGAGCTTTCTTGTTTTAGTTTTGACATACAATATCGCCCAGGAAAGGAAAACACTGTTGCTGACACTTTCTCAAGAGTATGCGCTGTTGTAAATAACTCTAACATGTTATCTGATTTACACAAATCTCTATGTCATCCAGGTGTTACTAGAATGTTCCACTGGATCAAGAGTAAGAATCTACCATTTTCAATTGAAGATATAAAGAAGTTGACCAGTAGCTGTAATGTATGTGCAGAAGTAAAACCAAGGTTCTACAAAAAACAAGAAGGTCATCTTATAAAAGCTACTTCACCATTCGAGCGATTGAATATTGATTTCAAGGGACCGATACCATCTAAGACTGGAAATAATTATATCCTTACGACCCGACCGTAGACGAGTTTTCACGCTTTCCTTTTGCCATACCATGCAGGGACCTGAGCTCAGCCACAGTGATAAAGTGTCTGTCCTACCTATTTTCTACATTTGGTATGCCAGCATATATTCATTCAGATCGAGGAGCAGCTTTTCTCTCTCAAGAGCTCACAACTTTCCTGTGTACCCGAGGCATTGCCACTAGCCGTACAACGCCCTATAATCCCGCAGGGAATGGTCAGGTCGAACGGTATAACGGAATTATCTGGAAGACTGTCCAGTTGGCTATAAAAACAAGAGGATTGAAATTAGAACAGTGGGAAGCTGTAATAGCTGATGCCTTACATTCCATTCGGTCTTTGCTATGTACTGCTACCAATTGTACACCAAACGAACGATTTTTCGCTCATCCTCGGCGCTCTTCAAATGGTGGAACACTTCCGTCATGGCTCAGCTGCCCCGGGAAAGTCTTCATAAAGAAACATGTACGTGCTTCAAAGTACGAGCCATTAGTGGAAGAAGTGGATTTAGTCGAAGTAAATCCTGAATACGCTTTAGTACGCTATGAAAACGGTAGAGAGTCAAATGTTTCGTTAAGAGATCTAGCACCTGTGGGTGACAGAACATTATATGAAGAACCTTCAGACAGAATAGATCCAAAAACAACACTTCAAGACACTCCAACCACAAGTGAGCCAAAGGAAGAGATGATTCAAACAGATGCTAGTACAGAAGGAACATCAAATGAACTTGATGGACCTCTGAGAACCACCAGAAATAAATCAACCCCTAAATACTTAAAAGACTATGTCACTAATTAATAATTAGTATTTTCTATGCTAGGGAGAATGTGATAAAGTAATATTGTTATCTTATCTATTATATTCCTATTTATTATATCTTAACTATATTCTTTATCTGTTTCATAATAATATTATAAGTTGCAATGTCATGTAGTTTATTGTGTAATAATATAATAATGTGCACCACGTTTTTGTTTAATAAAGCCTTAAGTATTAAAGGTCTAGAATACTATTTCACAACACTTAGCTTGGCGCAGTTACTATTATTTATGTCTCTATAACTAAGAACCCAAATGTCTCGATTTCTACATAAATATTCGCATCATTTTGCATATTTTTACTATAGTTAAACTATAGAACAATACAAATATTTAAATACATTCTTCTAGTAGCCGCCAAGCTAAGTACAATTATTTGCACTGAATAAATTCACAAGGTACAATAAATACAAACAGTTATAAATACTTTTATATTAATGAATTTATGAAATTACTTAGCCAATTTTTGATATCACAACTTTTGTAATTTAAGTGCTTATTTTTACTTAGCGATGTTTTTACACGGAGTGTTTTTGATGAGATATCACTCATTTTTTTAATTACAATTTTAGATATATGTAATTCTTTTCAAGCGGTGATGAAATGTATTTGTTTGTGGGAGGGGTGGTATATTATTATATAATTTAAGTTTTAATTATTGCTGGAGAATGATTATATATACGTCTTTAGCACCACGTGGCCACCGGTCGTAATAAATATTAGAATCATTGCATCTAACCCATTTATTATGAAATCGGATAATGCATGTATAATGAGCTGATGCCATTGAATTACCTTGGTGGCAAATCACCGAGTGTAGTTTATACATGCTGCCATCAATATTTATTTTTTCATTTGGTAATCCATTCATGACTAAGTCGGTGATTTTTGTGGTTGAATTTGACCATAGCTGTATTTGTAAAAATATATATTTGTTGCCATTTAATATGTGTGATGTTTGTGTATGAGGGTAATATGTATGACAATTTTCACACAGAATATTATCTATCAGAACTTGTTCTGAAATTATTTCAAACATAGATTTCAATGTCACTTTAGACTTGTCGGTAAGTCGGTAAATAAATCATTTAATTGTGTAATCATATCTTTTTTTGTTTTCGATTTAAATGCGATTTTTCGTAACATTATTTTATCAATATCAGTTAAAGTCACTGCATTAACTCTTACTCTCCCTAAAATGTTTGCATATGTTGGGTCATTTTTTTGCCTCATATTTTGAGTTAGTTCGTCATAAGTAAATAAAGTAGCCCATAAGTTAACTGTTCCTAGGGAATTCAAGTATTTTTTGCTCTGCGTAGAATTCAATGTTATAAACGGAGATGCTTCATTTACAGGTGGAAGTTGCAATAAATCACCTAGAACTAAGATATTTATACGTCCGAACCAACCGTTATCGCTATCACTTGTGTCAAATATCTCACATAATCGAAGATGTATATAGGAAAGCGTTTTGTTTGAAACCATACTTATTTCGTCAATAATAAGCAACACAACGTTTTCCATGGTATGACGAATTATTTTTAAACCATTATTAGATAGTGGTCGATACGATGGAGTATTGCCATGTTCAACTGGTAATTGTAGCAGACGATGTATCGTCATTCCCTCAATATTATAAGCTGATATTCCAGTCGGGGCAGTAATTGCGACATTTTTTTTTACAACTGTATTAATATAAGTTTTAATCGTCTTTATTAAAAATGATTTACCAGTACCTCCAACACCTGAAACAAAATGTCTTATGGGTCGCTTATTTTTAGATGATAAACTTTCTTTAATAAAATTAAACACTCATACACAAAAGACGTAAACCCGTTGCATGGAGAGGGAAATTCAGACGGCCAGATAGTTCAACGCAGCGCCGTGACGACGGATTAAGCAACGAGTGATTTCAACAGACGAGTGGAAGGGGAAAAATGGGCGGCCAGCACAAACATCCAACGCCGCGGAACATATACATTGTGGAATTGATGAAAAAAATAGCGTTTTGCTTAATTATTATGTTAATACTTTAGCATGTAACTAAGGCTGTAATACTCCGATAAACTTTAAATGTTCACAGAATCATCTACACACCAAACTGAGCTATTTGTACACCGTTCGCTGTTCGGCGTTCAAGTTTTCCACTTGTTGGGCCCACCGTGCCGCCGCGTCTATTTCTTGGAACAGCGCGTTGTCGTCCTGCAGCGGTTCCAGTAGTAGAGGGTCGGCGAGGGGCAAACCGTAGTCGACCGCGGGTGACTTTCCGTGACCACGAAGTAGATCCTGGATGGCTGCCAGACACGCGGCCCTCGCGCGGTCGACGTCTTGGAGACGCCGGTTGAAGTCCTCCATCAGGTTCGCTTCGTTCCTCTCGTACAACGCCAGCGGGTCTGAAGGCAGGCAGAACACCAGTATAGTGACGAACAGATACCGCAGTTGCCGCGGAGTGTCCACCAACGCGGATTCATCCAAACAATTCCGCCACGCTAGGTCGTCTTCCAATAGTCCGAGTGCAATCGCACCCGCCGTGTATGTTCCGTGAACGACCCCGTCCACCGTCCTTATGTCTTGAAAGGACTGCGGGCCTCTTCGGTTCAGAAGTAGCAATCTCAAGTGGAAACGGTCCCGGTCCATTGGGTTCACTACGTACATCCGAGCCAATGTAACGTTTGTCATCCGATTCACCCGCGGACGCCATTGTTTGACATTTTGCTGCCAGGTGTAATGCATCGGTATGTCGTGGTACAAGTATTGTCGAGCCACCACGTTGGTCGCGTTGAGCACGAAGAACTGCGTGAGTTTCGTGGGACCAACAGCTTCGTTCTGTAGCCGTAATTCTTCTTGGCCCGTCGGAAAATACACGTTGTGACGACCCTCCAGGTGAACGGGAAACCTGAAGACCGTGTGACTTTTGTCGTGCAGTTTGTACGAAGACAATCGCCAGACGGCTTCTGGCGGGCTGACGTACCTCGAGTTGACGTACCTAAAAAGGAATATTGAAAAGATTAGTGACAATATATTGGCTGGCTCAATATAAGATGATACCGTTTGGTGTTGTATTATTATGATAATTTATTTATTTTTTATTCTGTAGACGCATAGCATTGCATTGCAATATAATAATATATTACAATGTTTAATAATTTTAATTTATTTTGAAGTGAAGCGATTTGAAACGTTTAACCATACTAAGAACTAATTTTTGAATATTGCATGAACACTTACAGTTCTTTACTTTAACATTGAAAAATATAATGGACATTATGAAGAATTCCTACAACCGTTAAATTATAAATTTTGTAAAGTTTGGCATACAATAAATGTGACCGATATTATATTATGATATGTTTTGATAAATAAATGTTATAGTAGCGCACGCGTAAGACACAAACGTCTTGAGTAGCTAAATATTAATATTAATTAATATAAGTTACAATTGAAATGACGCACAGAGTTGGAATTTTTAGCATATAATTGATGTATTTAATTCAAATTTATATTTTGCACTGTGAAAATAACGCATCAAATGTAAAGTGAAACTAAAAAACTTGTACCAGCTAGAATACATTATCTGTGTGACTGCGTATAAATCACCGAATAATATTATATAAGAATGGCAAAGGTATATGAAATATTAATTTATGTCAATGAAAATAACAATCCATAAACAAACGTGTGTTATTCCGCTTGAATGAATTAGATGAAAAAATAATAATGAATATAATAAAAAATAATAATAATAGTAATAATAATACCTAAACAACACATTAAACGTAAAATATATAATATAGCTAGTATACAAAAGTAAAAAAAAATAAAAGGCTTACCACTACCCTAAAAACCTAAAAAAAACACTGGACACACTGCTAAGAATGACACATGCATAAAATATTGTAATAATTTTCAATTTAATAAATATAATAAAAATCTATCAATAGCATGTAGGTACCACTGTGTACTAATGTAGACCACCTATAGAACTCTCTGTAGAAGTACATAATATAATAATACCTAAACAACACATAAATATAATATATATTGAAGTATAGAACTTAAAGGTAATGGTGAATGTATACAACTGCCCTATGAAGTAGTAAATAATTCATACACACCGAACACACTAAAAAAATTTATAAAATCCACCATAACAATCATTATACCATACACATGTATAAATTATATATTTTTATTTATAGTACTGTATGCAATAGAATGTTTATTGTGTTTATTATACACAGCTTGAACGAAATAACGCATTACATGTAATAAAAATAATGACCAACACATAAAATAATTCCGTGGCTTGGTGCAAGATGGGTCAATGTCGTTAAAATTTGCTTATGTTACTTGTGTTACAAAAAAAAAGGGCCAATGTCTCTTACGCTGTAGGACCAAATTAGATAAAGTTTATAAATGTAGAAAATTACTAACATTATGCTCAATGGAATATTATTATTAAAATGTAGAAATGTTTTCACAAGTGTTTATTTTAAATTTAAGTTTTTGGCCAATGTCAAAAACAATGTAATTTTATTATTTATATTTGAAAACAAAATGAGAGTCATACCCTAAAAAGTAGTAAATAATTCATACACGCTGAACACACAAAATAAAGGTATACATTCCACTATGATTATCAGTTATCACTATACCACACACATGTATACTATTATATTATCTTATGTTTATATCGCTAAGTGTAGTGTAAGGTTAAGACTCACCTTGTAGTTTCATCTCCGTTCTGCTCAATCTCCAACGTCACATGGTCGTGTCCCTTGCATATATACTTGTAGATATACATGACACTTTTTATGGACGTGCATATCTCGACGTTGATGTGAGCGTCGTACTTGGCCAAAAGGTAAGGGTTGTAAGGCACTACACACCCGTTACCGACCGCATCACGTCTTCCCACAAGTACCGTCCGGCCGTCGTCCGGTCGGCGGTACCTTGGATAACCACCTTCCGCAACGTACA